TTCAAGGTCCGCCCGATTCCCCCACTTAAATGTCCCCCCGTTCAGAAAACCGAGGGTCCACCCTCGTCCAAAGATTAAGGGTACCACCACTTCCGAACATTGAGGGTCCACATGCAGGGTCCGGCTGGAAAAAGTAAGGGTCTACGTTTCGTACTCCCTTGGAGCGTAGTCGTGATGACCGTTGCCGTTGCTCTGATGACGTCGATGGGGCCTTTCAGCACAGAGTGGTGCAGAGGGACGCTTCGCTGGCCCGACTGCTCGAGCACCAGAAGCATCCTGGCATCTTTTGACAAGCTCCCAGGAGGACAAACACAGTTGCTCCCTCCTCCTTTTCCTCGTCCTCCTCCTCCTCCTCTTCCTCCTCCTCCTCCTCCTCCTCCTCCTCCTCCTCCTCCTCCTCCTCCTCCTCCTCCCCCTAGCTGTCTCCGCACGCTGTGCCTCCTCCCCCTAGCTGTCCACATCTCCCGCGAGACACCTCCTGAACTCGGCCCTGTGGCACTTCCCGCCACCAGCGCGCGCAAGGAGGAGGCGGGGGCCGCACATGGCCTCAGTTGCCGAAGGCAACGAAACGAAGCCCCCAACGGGCCCCCGAGATTCCGAGAAGGGGCGGAAACTATGAGAATGAGAGACCCGCAGGCTTGGGCGAAACCCACGGGTCTGGTCCCTGGGCCCTTGGGGACGTATCGAGGCTACTCAGATGTGGATGGTGGAGCTGGCAAACTCTAAGCCCGGAGGTTTTGTTGACTATGCCCGCGGGTCTAGTTCCAAGCCCTCTTAGGGGCCCATTTGGGACACCTCAGGGCCTGCTCCAGGCTATGGCGACCCCCCTGGGCACGTGACCTGCGACTCGATGTTGCCTCTCGCTTCGCCTTCCCGCTCACGACCCGCAGGCAGGAAAGCCCAAAGAATTATTGTTGAACTCCTAGGCGTCGGGGATGAGGCTTGACTTGATACTTCCAGGGGTCAGCAAACCGAAACGAGTCCAACGCCATCTAGAGGTCCCGAGAGTGTCCCAGGCCCCAAGGTTTTCAGAGCCTTGCAGGATGTCAAATCCAAACGGTCTTCCAAGGACCTTTTGATCCAGACGGACGGTCTTCCGCGGACGGTTTGACCGATTGCAGTGGGGCCCAAGCGTACGCCCGTGAAAGCGGGACAACTCAGGATCACACATGGGACGAGGCGTCCGAGTCGTTCTGATTACGAGGCGCTCTTCGGGCCCTTTTGAGGCCTGCCTGGGTCACTCGTGGGGCCGTCTTTGGAACCAGGTGTCGCCCGCCCTTAGCCCGGCACCTAGCTCTTGGCCGTTCTTGGGGCCTTCTTAGGGCCACATTGGGGCCATCTTGGAGCTTTTCCTCGGCCATCATGGCCCCCTTTGGACCCCCCCGGTTTGTCGGGCTCACGACAGCTGCATATTAGCGGTCGAGCAACTCAATTCAAACAATGCGCGCTGCGAGCTCCACACCAGAGCCACGAGCTCCACACCAGAGCCATCATCGCGTGATTGCATGAATGTCTCTTCTCAAGAGAATTACCATCTAGGGGTCCAATGAGTTCGCCTCCTGAGCCTGCGAGGCGACTCAGAGCCACAAGAGTCTCCGAGTTTCCACAGTGCCATGTTGCATGCGCACGACGGAAGCATGAGATGTACGCACCTCTCTCCCTTCCACTACGTCGACGTATCCCCACCAGCTCATCCAGGCGCGATCTCCAGTCACGACTACGACAGGACTCGACGACGGCGATCACGACGACGGCGCTGCCTCTTCCGCCGCCGCTCTGCCCCGAGACGCCCCAGGCGGGCTGCGTTGTTCTATTCCGTTGCTTGCGAGTTCAGCACCGCGGGCCGGCCGCACGGATGGCCGCGCCGTCGCGTGGTTTGCGCCCCCGGGCGTGTGGCAGCCTGCCGCGGCAGGCGATGCGCATCGCCGCCTCGGCGGTCCTCCTCGCCCCTCCGGCGGCCCACGCCGCGCGCACCAGCGGGCTGCTGGTCCGCGGGGCCTTCCGGGCGCCGGCGGACGACGCGGCCCTGCCGCGGGCCAGCGGGCTGGTGCTGCGCGGCTTCCCCGCGGCAGCGAGGGCCGCGGCCAACGCCAGCGCGCCGCGGGCGCCGGCGGAGCTCTCCGCACGGCCGCTCCTCGCCGCCGCGAGAGCGGCTGCCAACGCCAGCGCCGACGCCAGCGCGCCTCTCGGCGGCCCGCCCGCCCGCGCCGCCCCCCTGGCGGCCAGCGGCGGCGCCGCCGCGGCGAGAGCGGCCGCCGACGCGGCGCGCCTCGGCAGCGCCCCGCCCTCAACGCCACGGCCTGGCGGTCGGCGGCGCCGCGGCGGCGCAGGGGCCCGGAGCGCCCCGCGCCCGACGGGGCCGCGCACGCGGTCCGCGGCGCAGCCAGGGGGCAGGGCGCGGGCGCCGAGGGCGCCCGCCGGCCCGCGGCTCGGGCGGAGGGCCCTGCCGCCGACGGCGGGGCGCAGGGCGTGGCGGGCGGGGCCGCCGCCGCAGAGGCCCGAGAGAGTCATCTGCACGAGCGAGATCTTGGCATCGCTCGGACGTGTGCGTTTTTTCCTCGGCGAGGACCATCGAGGAGCATCCTTGATCACTTGGCGAAAAAACCACGCACGAAACCGAAACAACAAGCACAGGGAATGGACGTCCGAGCGATGGCGAGAGATGGGCACGGAAAGAATGGGTGCAATGCCCAGCAGCAGTTCCTGCTCCTTTCGAGCAGGACTCGCTGTCCGCGCCGCCGCGGCCCGTAGCGAATTGGGACAGAAGGCCGCCTGCCCAGCATCGGCCGCTGATGGTTCGGGGCAACATGTGTTGCTGGGCATTGTACCCATTCTTTCCGTACCCACTTCGGGCGTTCAAAATTCAAGAGTCTGGCATGGAAAGAACACCCTCCCAGAGAAGGCGGCTCAGGGCATCTGCACGGGCTCACTCGGCACCGGCATTCGGCACTCGAGTGTGCCCGCGCAGTCCCCAGTCGGCTGCGCTCATCGACGCGCGTCCCGCTGGATGCAGCCAGTAGTGCTCGGAGTTCGACTGGCTACCCCGCCAGGGGGCGCTCGGAATGCGGTGCCGTGTGCACGTGGAGTGCCCCCAGTAGCTAGCTGTCACTACAAGCAGGCCAGCCACAACTGGGGGAGCTGTGGTCCTTACCCCCCTGGGGGACCCATCGATTTCGACACCCCTCTCGAGAGATCGTCGAGGCGATGGGTTCCCCCAGGGGGGTAAGGACCACAGCTCCCCCAGTTATGGCTGGTCGGACAAGGCAGCTGAAGGGGGTGCTGTCCACCCCCAGGAACCAGTAACGGCACAACACGCAAACTGTCGGAGGCCCGCGCGGACCTCTTGGATCGGCGTTGGACAGCCCTCCCCAGAAGAGAAGCAGTGCTGATACCAACGCCGCCTCCCTTCCCTCGTCGCCACGGTTGGATTCGCATCGGGACTCCTGGGGCGAGGCGGCAGCGGAGAAGGAGGAGGATCATTAGGAGGAGGATGAGAAGGAGGAAGAGGGGCAAGAGGAGGACAAGGATGAGGAGGCAGGAGCGACACTCCCCTCAGGCTCCCAAGAGGCGCCTGGCTCACCCAGGGAGTGGGGGTGTCGGGACCTGTTCGTCCCCTCCGAACACGCAGGCTCGGAGGTCCGAGCGGACTTCCTCTGGGCCCGCTCCCTCGGGGGCCCCATCTCGGAGCCGTCCCCTGACATCCGCTGGCATGGCGCTGTCAACCCACAGCCCCAGAGGCCCCCGGCCCCTTTCCCAGGGGGTAGTTTTTCGTCCTGGGTCCATGTTTGATTGTCCCGGGGCTCGATAGCCTGGCCCTAGGGGCCGACATCGAAGGAACACGTCAGGATTGAAAAGATCGTACCGTCGGGGATCTGGCTATCTGCTCCTCTGAGAGGAGGCCCTGGCGACCGAGATCGCCGAGGACGCTCGTGGGGCAAAAACACACCACAACCGTGGCCTCGCGGGTCTGGCTCCTGGGCCGCGCCCCCTTCGGTGACGGGGCGCTGCTTCGCGGATGCTCCGCGCGGCACGTACCTGCGCGACCGCGCATCCGCGGGAGATCGCGAGCCCGCGTGGGCGTGGGGATGTCGGCGGAGGCTAAGTCCATGCGGAGTGAGTCCATGCGGAGTGTTCGGTCTCCATCTGGGCTTACTGCGCCTGGACTCGGGGTCTCCCGATCGGAGGCTACGCCCGTGCAGAGTAAGGCCATACGGAGTGCTCGGTATCCGTCTGGGCTCACTCCGTTTGGGCACAGCCCCTCCTGGGTACTCCAGGCTTCCTGGATGGGGTCCGAGCGAATCGGGTCGGAAAATCACGCCGCAGCGCCGATGCATCGCCGCCGCGCGGCGCGACGTGCAGCCCGAGCTGATTCACGCTAGCGTCGCCGATGCACCGCCGATGCACCGCCGATGCATCGGCGATGCATCGGCGATGCATCGGCGATGCATCGGCGATGCATCGGCGATGCGGCGCGATCCTCCGACCCCATCCTCTCGGACCCCCATGTAGGAGGCCTCTGGGTTTGCGCTTGGCATCGCTCGGACGTGTGCGTTTGTTCCTCGGCGAGGACCATCGAGGAGCATCCTTGATCATCTGGCGAAAAAGCCACGCACGAAACCGAACAAACACACAGGGAATGGACGTCCGAGCGATGGCGAGTGCGCAAGTTCGCCCCTCGTGAGGACGTGGCGGGCCCCGCGGTCCGCGGGCGCCCTGGGGCCCGCCGCGGGGCCCCTCCGTGGCTCGACGCCTTCGAGGCCTCCGAGGCCGCGCGGTGGCGGAGCCTGCCGCCGGTGCAGCTTGCGCAGGCCTGCGGCGCTGCGGCTGCTGCTCCTCGTCCGCCTTCTCTGCGTCTCCTCCCTCCTCCTCTCTCCTCTCTCCTCTCTCCTCTATCCTCCTCTCCTCTCTCCTCTCTATCCTCCTACTCCTCCTCTTCCTCATCTCCTCCTCCTCTCCTCCTCCTCCTCCTCTCCTTCTCCTCTTCCTCGTCCTCTCCTCAGTGACGCTCGCTCCTCTCTCCTCCTCCTCCGCCTCCTCCTCCTCCTCTCGGGGGGGACCGCTTCGCTCCTCCTCCTCCTCTCTCTCTTCCTCTTCCTCCTTCTCTCCTCTCCTGCTCCTCCTCTCCTCCTCCTCTTCTCCTCCTCTCTCCCCTCCACGTCTCCTCTTCGCCTCCTCCGCTCTCCTCTGCTCCTCCTCCTCTTTCCTCTCTCCTCCTCCTCTATCCTCGTGTCTCTGCCTCCTCTCCTCCTCCTCCTCCCTCTCCTCATCCTCCTCAGTCTCCACCCCTTGTCCTTCTCTTAGCTGCCCTGATACGTCCGTGTTGAAGCGCCTCACGTGCCGTGCTCAAAACGTCCGTGGCAATCCGTTCCGTGTTGGCTCAACGCACTGGCCCACGTTTTGGTGAACGTACCGCGTGAGACCTGCGTATTCAGTCTACGTGGCGTCTCGGGGCAGTCAAGGTCCTCATGAACAGCCAAAGAAGGAAAGGGTACCCAAACAGCTACCCTGGCCTCGTTTTCGCCTTTCTCGTGCTCTCCTGAGGGCATCCTCGTCGTCACCGCTGGATCTGCCTCGAAAGCCTGGTCGGACACGCACCTCGGGAGGGGTCCGTGGGAGCAGCGGCATCGGCACTTCTGTTGGGCTTCCCCAGGGAGATTTCTTCCTTGTCGCGCACCCAGAGGCGTCAGCAGGGCGGGCCGGGCGTGTCGCTCGAGACTTCCTGACCACCACTCATGTCTGGACGCCCGAAATGGGTACGGAAAGAATGGGTACAATGCCCAGCAGCAGCTCCTGTTCATTTTGAACAGGACTCGCTGTCCGCGCCGCCGCGGCCTGTGTCCATTCGAGACGGAAGGCCGCCTGCCCAACCGCGGCCGCTGTTGGTTCGGGACAACATTTGTTGTTGGGCATTGTACCCATTCTTTCCGTACCCATGGCGGGCGTCCAGTCATCACGACACGGAAGCGCGGCAGCTTCACGGATGGAGGGCGGGGCTGTTCTCAAAGTGTGGTTCTCGTTTCCGCGCCGCGCGCGTTCGTTGTTTGCATGTTGCAAAAAGTTTCACGGATGCGAAGGACAAAAGTTGCATAAACATGAGCGTTCGGAGTTCCGCGCGGATTTCTTGGAGGGCAGCTGGTCTGAAACAAGTTTCACGGATGTAGGGCGGCTGGTTTTCAGAGTGTGGTCCTCGCCTCAGCGCCGCGTACCTTTCGCCGCGAAGGTGGGCAGCAGCCTCGCGGATGGAGGGCGGCACGGTCTTCAGGATGTGGTTCTCGTCCCAGCGCCGGGCACATTCGCCGTAAGTTTGTGCAGCAGCTTCAATGATGGAGGGCGGTTCCTTTTCACAATGTTGCTCTCGCCACTGTGCCGCGTAAATCCGTCTCAATTGTTTACCCAGTTGCAAGAGCTCGTATGGTTAAAGTCTCAGGCGCTGCGTTCTGTCAGCCTTTGGGGTTGTCAGGACGCACCACTTAACTTGATTCGTGGTGTTGGCATTTCAGGAGTGGTGTTCTGGCACGGTTCAGGGTACCTAGGGCGCAATAGTCAAATGGATCCGCGGCGTTGAAGTCCCAGGGACGGTGTCTTGGCGAATGGGGATTCTCTGTCGGTGTTCGTATAATTGGCCACATCCAGCAATGAACATAAATGATTGCAGGGTCTTGTGAAGAGGGCATTAGGAGGGAGGGATACCGGCAACATCCTTCATGCGCCTTGGGTTTGCACTAGTCCTCCTCCTCCTCCTCCTCCTCCTCCTCCTCCTGCTCCTGCCTGCCCCGTGCCTCCTCTCTCGCGACCTCCTCCTTCCTCGCCCTCCCTGGCGTGCCTCCTTCTCCTTGGGCCTCCGGGAGGCTTCTCGTCGCCGCGGCTGGACCCGCCTCGAAACGGAGGAGGAGGAGGAGGAGGAGGAGGAGGAGGAGGAGGAGGAGGAGGAGGAGGAGGAGGGGGGGAGGAGGAGAGAGAGGGGGAGGAGGAGGAGGAGGAGGAGGAGGAGGAGGAGGAGGAGGAGGAGGAGGAGGAGGAGGAAGAGCAGGAGATCACTAGGTCAAAACAGATGCCCAATCCCAAAAACGCGAGGGCCAAGACAAAACGCAGGCTCTTCGAGACTTCGGGGAGGGAGATTTTGGGGCACTGTTTTACCAGGGCCGACGACGACGAACGCAAAACATACCCCGAAATCTTTGGCCGATCTTCGAATCCTCGGTGGATCCGCGATTTTGGGATTGGGGATGTGTTTTTTCGTTGGCGACAAAACCACGCACGAAGCCGAAAAAAGCACAGGGAATGGACGTCTGAGCGATGGCGAGGGCCTGGGGACCGATCTTGAGCGGACCTGGGCCAGGCAGGAGAGCCGCCGTTGCGTCAGCTGGGGCCCGGCTCGTTCGTCGTCGCCTCCCCGCCGGGCTCCTGCTCGCCTCCTCGCCCTCCTCCGGCCCCCCGCTCCTCCTGCCTCCTCCTCGTCGTCTCCCTTCCGCTGCAGGCTGTGCGCACGCCTGGGCGGTCCTGGCTCGATCCGCTCCTATTCCCAGACCCCAGGCAGCGCGTAGCAATGCAACGCAACGCAGAGAAACGGACACCAATGCGAAGCAGTGCAGCGCGATGCGAAACAGCCAAAAATCAGTGCGAAGCAGCGCGAAGGAGCCAATACGAAGCACTGCAGAGCAGCGCAGTGCAACGCAGTGCAAACGAGTGGAAGACAATGCGGGGCAACAGTCCTGCAGCAACGGTGCGGCAGAGAGGGCCTCCGTGTCTCCTCTTGTCTCCACACTCGTCCTCAGGAGGTGCTCGCGGGCATCGGAGGCGGGACTGGGGCGATGGTGGGCACGGGGGACACGGCTATGGACCAGGATCGGGGCGGCCGCAACCATTAGATTCGTCTCCCTCCTCGTCCCACCCTCCTGCTTCTCGTTCTGGTCGTCCTCCTCCTCCTCAACCGTCTCTTTCCTAGTCCCTCCCTCTTCGTCCAATCCTGCTCCTCCCCATTCTCCTCAGACTCTCTTCGTCCCTTTCTCCATTCCTCCTTCTGCTTTTCCTCGCATTCCAATTCCTTGTTACTGCTCCCCTCCTTCGTGTCCTCCTCGGCCTCTTCGTGCCCCCTCCTCCTCCTCCTCCTCCTCCTCCTCCTCCTCCTCCTCCTCCTCCTCCTTCTCCTCCCCCTCCGTCTCCTCCCCCCTCAAGCATCCCCCATCCCTGCATTTTGCGCCACCCTCTCAGGACCTGCTGCGGCGGCTGCGGTACCAGGACGAGGCCACCATGGTGCTGCTGTTGCTGGCCTACCTGGTGGCTTTAGCCTTCAGCGCGAGTATTGCTTACCGCCAGGCCTCCAACGAGTCCCCTGTGACATACTACGCCGATCCGCGCAGCCACCAGATAGTGGCGGAGGGTCACGAACTCCCGGATTTCCTGGAGGCGTTCGGCCAGCCTCCTCGGGAGGTGCACCTGGAGGTGACGGGCCTCGTGCCGATGTTCATGCTGCCGAATTTCCTCACTGAGGCTCGGTAACGAATCATGGGAGCCAAGTATGTTTTCGAAATTTCGTGTTTGGGGTACACTGGCGTGCGCTGGCGTCTGGCAATCGATGAGAAAGCGCCGATTGAGCGTCGACTAGCGCCGAGTTAGCGTCGATTACCGACGATTGGCGTTGGCGATGGTCGACTCGCAAGACCCAGTGTCATAGCCCGCCGCCTTCGCTAAGTGTAGCGGACGGCTCGAATATCAAGGTTTCGACGTCGTTTCGTCGAAACCTTGATATTCGTGCGTTGTCGTTTCGCCCCCTCGCGCCTTCGTCGCCGCCCCTCGCAAAGCGACGACGCGACGACGCGACGACGACAACGAAACCACGACTAGGATGAAAGGACATTGAAACCGTGATCTTCGAGCAAGCCGCCAAAATCGGGGAAGGCCGTGGGCTTGTCAACGCACGGAGGCGTCGGTCGAGTGGCTCGGCTCGCGCTACGCGGTGGCCTTCTCCTTCGCGCTGGACCTGGCGCCGTGGGTGAGGCCCGTGCCGCGCACCGCGGGCCACGGAGACACCGGGGCGACGGACGGCCCGGAGACGGGGATCACACCGGCCAGCCCGCTCCTCCGCTGCCTCATCCCTCTTTCTCACTGGGGGCAACGTGCGGCGGAGGAGGAAGAGGAGGAAGAGGAGGCAGAGGTGGACGCGGAGGAGGAGGAGGAGGAGGAGGAGGAGGAGGAGGAGGAGGAGGAGGAGGAGGAGGAAGAGGAGGAGGAGAAGGAGAGGAGGAGGAGGGGGGGGGGGGGAGGGGAGGAGGAGGAGGAGGAGGAGGAGGAGGAGGAGGAGGAGGAGGAGGACACCCGCGAATCGTTCTCCCTCACCTGAGGGTGGGTCAACGTGTGGGGGGAGGGGGGCGGGGATAGGGGCCCTTCGAAGTTCGGAGTTCGAGGTGTTCGCGGGTGGTCCGTCGGTTCGGTGCTCGGAGGTCTTCTAGCCACGGGATGCCTCGCAGCAGCGGCGCCTCGTCGAGAGCGTTCCGCAGGTGCGGGAGGAGGAGCAGGAGGCGGAGGAAGATGCGGAGAACGAGGAGGAGGAGGAGGAGGAGGAGGAGGAGGAGGAGGAGGAGGGGGAGGGGGAGGAGGAGGAGGAGGAGGAGGAGGGGAGGAGGAGGAGGAGGAGGAGGAGGAGGAGGCCTGGGTCGTCCCATCCGAGTTAAGGCCTGAAGACCACCCGGGGCAACGTTAGGGGTGGACAGGCTCAGGGGGCGATGCAACGACGCCCAATTGCCCGCTCACTGCCGCGCCCAGGAGCGTGCGAATTTGCCATCGGGGGCTTATCGCCGATCTAATGGTGATGTATCGCCGATTCCAGGTCGGTGGTTCCCCCCTTGAGCTGGTCCCCCCGAGCGTCCCCCCCCCCCCCCCCCAACACCGCCGAGGGGGGGGGGCCGAGGAAGAGCGGCCCTGAGGCTTGTCAGCGCTTTCGGCTGCCCAGGGCCTTCCTCCTGCGGCGGGTTCGTTGACATGCGATTCAGTTCGAGGTCGGAAGCTTGCTCGGTGGTTCCTTAGGTCTGTGTGCGTTGCGTTGCTTTTTTGGTGGGGAGCCCCCTTTCAGTGCTCCTCCGGATCTTACTGCCGTTTCTTCGGATCTCACGGCTCGCCTTGGAAGGAGAAGAGCGTCGTTCAGTACTCCAGATTTCGTAATAAAAGGGAGGGGGTCTGGACCCTCCAAGACAAGCCATTTCAGACCTCCCCCGTGGGAGAACCCTCCAAAACATCGTCCCCAGACCCCCCAGGCCCTCCAAGATAGCCTGGAAGAGACCCCCCCCCGAAATGAGACCCCCCTCCCTTGATTACGAAATCTGGAGTATTGATCGTTCCCTATCACAGCAGCCTGGCTGCCGGCCCTGGTGCCGTCGAAGAGCGACCCCCGAGGGGAAGGTGCCAGTCTCGCGGGAAGCCCTGGGGTCCCGGGGTCCCGTTTCGTTCCGGGCGGGGCCCCTGTCGCGTCGATCGTCCTCGCTCTATTTCGGAGGTGGACAGAACCCCCAACAGTGACACGTCGATTAGTGAATTGTCCGTTTTCGGTTCTCGAGAGGGCGCCGTGGCCGTTATTTTCCAGGCTTGCGCCCGCCAGGTTTGGGCCTCAGGTCGTTTTCACTAAACCACGTTTTACTAAAGGGGGGTCTGTCCAACCCCGACTATTCGTCCTCGCCGTCGTTGTCCGCCTCCTCGCAACCCGCCTTCTCATCCTCGGTGGAGCTGGCCATACTGGAGTCCTTCCTGGACTGCAACGAGAACGACCTCGCCACCGTGGAGCTCCTCAAGGAGGTGGAGTGGCCCGACTGGGAGGAGCTCGCGACCAACATCAAGTCCCACATTCGCCAACAAGGCTTCGATGGAACTGTGCTGGTCAAGAAGCGCCACGGGGAGCATATGACCATCTACAAGAATCAACCCTGGGCCAACTTCATGCATGGTAGGATGATCAAGGTGCTGTGCGTCCTGAGCATATTTGGCTGGCTGGTCTACCAGCCATACATGTGGATTCGTCAGAGAGCCCTGCAGTTGAGAGTACGTTACCGTGTAGATGTGAAGATCAACGACTATTGGCCATTGATTTGTGACAAGATCACAGCAGAGGGTTTCGTCGTCCGCACATGACCCGCGCGTCTTGTGTCGGCCTTGTTGCAGCCCGCCCCAGGGGAGGAAAACATGGATGAGGACGAGAGGGAGAAGGTTGACGAGAAGGGCTACGATAAGGAGGATGTGGAGGAAGATGAGGATGTGGAGGGGGGGGACGTGGATGAAGGGTAATTCTAGACGCTTCGCTTCGAATTCCTCGATCAGGGAAGTGGGCAGCACACAGAGGACTGGTCCCTCAGTGCAGGCTTCTTGGAGCGTCTTGGGTGCCTCGGAGAGCTTCTTGGGGCCCCTAGGGGATCTCTTCGGAGCCTCGTGGAGGCCTTGTGAGCGCCTGTTAGGGCGGGGCCCTCTTGAAGCGCTCTTGGGAGCCTTGGGAGCGCCATTGGGGCCATCTTGGAGGATACCGGTCAAACAAGAAGCGAGCAGTAATTAGCGTTGCCCCTCGGGAGCCCAAAACGTCGCCTCTTGGGGAGCTCGTGGAGCGCTCTTGGGCGCTCTTGGGGCCGTCTTGGAGCTCTCTTGAGCCTCTCTTGGGGCCCTCTTGGGCCATCTTGGAGCCATCTTGAGGCCTCGGATGGCCATCGGAAGCGAAAAGGCGAGACAGCCAAACACACTGATGTTCCTAAGGTTTTGGAAGAACTTGGGCCTCCTCGGGGCCTCCGAGGGGAGCTCTTTGGCCACTCGGAGCCGTCTTGGAGCGGTCTTGGGGCATCTTGGGGCATCGTGGGAGCCATGTTGAGGCATCTTGGGGTATATTGAGCCATCTTAGAGGTCATCTTGGGCTCTCCCAGGCGCTCTTGGAGTCATCTTAATCAGTGCCCCCCCCCCCCAGGAGGCCATCTCAGTGCAATCAATGATTTCGGCATTCTCGCCGAGGCCCCTTGGAGCGTCTGAGGTGCCATTGGGGGGCCTCTTGGGGCTTCTTGGTGGTCTGTTGGGAGCCTCTTGGGGGCATCCTGGGGGCCTCTTGGGGCCTCATGGCCACCTCTTGGGGCCCTCTTGGGGCACCCTTGGGAGCCTTGGCGGCTGTCTTTGGTCCATCCTGGGTGAGATCGATCAGAGGAGGGGGGGTCCCTAATGAACCTCCCCCCAGGAGGCCAAAATGGGGCCAAAACCTTAGTAAAACCAGTGATTTGGGTTTCCTCGCCGGGGCCGTTTTGGACGCTCCAACTACCCGCGGACCCCCCCGTCCAGGTCCAGGGGAGGGGGTGTGGGGGGGTGAACCCTTCCCCGAAGGGGAAGAAGGGGGTTGGAAGAGGAAGCTCCCTAGACCACCAACGCCCTATAGGGCTGGCGGGATTAGGAGGTTGAGGAAGAGGCGAATGCATGTGGAGGATGAGAAGGAGGAGCATGAGAGGGGACGAGGCGTCAGTGCAGGTAGATCAGGAGGAGGTGGAGGAGAGGTTGCTGCCACTTCTGCTATTGATCTCCTTGCGTGACCAGCCAGGAAAAGGGGGCGTTCGGCAATAGCGCAGAACGGGCTACCGCCCAGCAGGCGCGCTCAACTCGCGTTCAAGGTTCGAGGATTGAGAACATATGCGTCGAGACGTTCAGAGTTTTTTCTCTGGTCTCCAGGGTCCCCCATCGGCTTCCAGGGGCCTGGTGCCTCCAGGGAAGTGTTGTGCCTCCTGGAGCGGGACCCTGGAACATCACCCCAGTTCCTAGCACTGCTTCTTTTTTGGCTTCACACCCAAAGTGCCACGTTCAGGATGGATGTGTCCTCCTCGAGGCGTACCGCCTGATTGCGACAGGCATGGCTTACATGTGGACCTGTGGTGGGAGACGCTTGTCCAGAGAGCGCCAATGCTTCCAAGTTTCGTCTTCCCAGATAAACTGATGCGTGTGTGTGTGTGTGCGTGTGTTAGTGTTTGTGTGTGCGCGCGCGTGTGTGTTTGTGTGTTTGTGTGTCTATGTGTTTGTATGTGTGCGGCGTCGCCGTGTGAGCCTGTTATCAACCAGACCCTAGAGGGTGCACCACCCGGCAGGTCTTCACGTGATTGATCTGTTGGATACTGTTCGTTTCTGCATATTGGTATTATGCCATTCATGGTGCATCCATCCCCGCCTTCCTCATGGAACGACCTACCCGTGCGACCAATTCCTCTTCCTGGTGTGCCCAGCGCCAACAATAACTCGCAACAGGTCTGTTTACACGCATTCCATGTTAATGCTCTTCCCCTGCGCTTTGAGCCACGAATCACTCCAGCACAACACAGTTCGCAATGCACAGGCGTCAACGAGACGAATGCGTATCTTGACGAGAGTCCGCATGAATCCTGGGACTGGTCGCAACTGGAAAGTCTAGCCAGCCCTGCCTGGATCCAGGCAGGGAGTTCCTTGCTCAGGCGGCACACCAGTGAGTATAGGGGAGTATGGGATGTGGGGCCGTGGACGACAAAGAGGACGCGGTGTCGGTGGAGGAAATATGGAGGTTGGCGCTGCTGAATCGGAGTGAATGGGGAGAACTGGGCTTAGGAGTGCGGCGACGTGGAGGGTCAGCGGGATAAGGAAGAGTAGGTGTTGTATGAGAAGGGTGAGCTGAGGGTGCAGGAGAGGGACGAGAGGGAGGAGGTGGAAAATCAGATGCAAAGGGCAAGGATGATGATGAGTGAACGTCGTATGATGAGGAGGTCGATTTAGAGAGAACAGGGGAGAGGTATTAGCACCATATGGTGATGATGAGGATGATGACGATGATGACGATGCTGCTGCTGATGATGATGATTGTGATGATTCTGGTAATCATTATGATGATACTGATGATCATGTTGACGATGATGATGATGATGATGATGATGATGATGCTGATGATGATGATGATGATGATGATGATGGTGGTGATGCTGACAATGATTATGATGATAATGACGACGATGATGATGAGGAGGAGGATGATTGTGATGATGATGATGCTGATGCTGATGCTGATGATGATGATGATGATGCTGATGATGATGATGATGCTGATGCTGATGCTGATGATGCTGCTGATGATGATGCTGATGATGCTGCTGCTGATGATGATGATGCTGATGGTGATGATGGTGATGATGATGATGATGCTGATGATGATGATGATGATGATGATGATGATGATGATGATGATGATGATGATGATGATGATGATGATGATGTGAAGGAGTAGGTGCCTGAACCGGAGGAGGAGATGGATAGAGATATGGAGGCGGTGGCGTAGGAGCAGCTGGAAGAAGAGTGGGAGGAAGACGCGGGCGGTGACGATTCCAAGAGGGAGGTCGAGATGGATGATACAGGTGGTAACGATGAAGGGAGGTGTCCAAGAAGGTTGCGGAGGGTCGTCGAGGAACGGGAGGTTCAGATGCAATGCGGAGGAGTCTGGGGATGGAGGGCTCGAAGGACGGCAAATTTAAGGAAGAGGACAAGGAGGAGGAGAATGGGGTGGGCATGGGAGGACGGAGGATCTCATGCAGGAGAAGGGGGAAGAATGGAAGGAGGGCAGGAGCGGGTTGAAGAGGCGGGAGAGGAAGGGAAGGAGGAGGAGGAGGAGGAGCAGGAGGAGCAGGAGGAGGAGGAAGAAGACGAAGAAGAAGAAGAGGAGGGGCAGGCGGATGGGGGAGTAAGCGGGGAAGCACGAGGACGGGGAGGAGGCTGGCATGGGGTATACGAGAAAACACACGAAGGGTGGCGATGAGCGGGCGGAGGAGAGTATTGCCCAGGATCGGGGGCTGGATGGTGAGGGGAGGAGGAGGCCGAGGCCGGACCCGGCGGCACGAGGAGGACGAGGGTCCTCATCCACCTCCTTGCCCTCCGGCGCCCCGTGCTCGCGCCCTGTCGCCGGCTTGGCCGCCCTGGCAGGGCTTTGGGCCCGCGCCAGTGCGCAGAAAGGCGCCTCCTCGGAGGGGCGCTGCCCGCCAGGGGGGAAACGAGGAGGAGGCGGAGGAGGAGGAGGAGGAGGAGGGGGAGGAGGAGGAGGAGGAGGAGGAGGAGGAGGAGGAGGAGGAGGAGGAGGGGGAGGAGGAAGAGGAGGAGGAGGGGTCCTGAGGGAAGCGGTTCCTGAGGCCTCTCACCGTTCTCTTGCTCTCGGGGCCCTCCACGGTCCCGTGCATTGTAAGAGATCGACTCAGGATAGAGCGCAGAAAGGCGCCTCCTCTGAGGGGCGCTGCCCGCCAGGGGGGAAACGGTTCCTGATCGCAGGCCTAAAGGTTGACACCAACACCAACATCGGCGGTGTGCCTCCACCGAGGGAAGAAGATCCCGATCTCGGCGATGGTGGTCATATTCTGGCTTCCAAGGTGACCGAAATATCGCCACCACCACCGAAATCTAGGATCATCTTCCCCCCTGTGGAGGCAGCCCCCCTGCGTTGGTGCTGGTGCCAATTTCTGGGCCTCCGACCTGAGGCTTTCCACCGTTCTCTGGCTCTCGGGGCCCTCCACGGTCCCGTGCCTTGTAAGAAATCGACTCAGGAGAAAGGCTTCGTCCTGGGGGAAGGCACCACAGGGTGGCAGTTACCATCTCAAAATTAAGCGTGTGGTCCCGTTCGGTCGTTCACGACGAAGTGGCATCACATTCTTGCGATAGCAGCTGCTTCTTGTCCAACCTCGGGGGCGCGGCCCACCTCAAGCTTTCGGAGTCTGCGGTGTTGAACTATGTTGGGGAAGGTCTTCAGGGATGTGCTGACAATCATTCGTCAAGGCAAGCATTCGTCAAGCAAGCATCGGGTCCGGGACCCGTTTCCCTCAGGAACCGGTTTCCCCATGCTTAGCTGCCCCGGGGCGGTTTGCTCGTCGGCCAGGTGTCCCGGCGTGCCTACAGGCCCACGAGGGAATGTTCTCTATATAGCATTTTGTGGTCTGCAGGAGGTGTTCTCAGAACATTCTTGGCTGAGGCCGTCTTGGTTTAATGCATCGGCCGTATGTTCTAAAAGCATTGTTTTGTTCCTAGAACACTCTTCAGTTCTAGGAACATGTCACGGCAGGCCTATGGGGATGCCAGAACGGTCGGCCCCTTGTCAGTGATGGGCGTTTTCCCCGAGGCGGTTTGCTCGTCGGGTTTCTCCTCTCCCAGTTCTCCCCGTAGGGGCGTCCAACCATCATACACATTGCTTCCGCAGGCATTCGCGGATTGGCTTTTCAATCCGTGGGACTTGGAGCGCTCGACCCCTTCCTCAGGTCAGACGTTTCATTCTGGATCGTCGTCCGAAGGTCCCCGGGCCCCACGACAATCCCCGAGGCCAGAGGAGGGCCAAGCACGCCCAAAAACTTCCATCCTCGCTTCTCAAAAGCTAATCTCCATACCCCCCGTCGCGCTGTCCCACAACGAAAGAGGAGGTGGGGGCTGCGCCCGTTCTCCCCCCAGAGATCCCGACCCGTTCCCCGGGGCCGGCCTTTCCTCTGGAGCTGCTCTCCTGACGGTCCCGGGGCCCGGCGACCGTCCCAGGAGGCTCGGGGGCGGCCACGAGGGGGGTGATGACTAGGGGGGGAGGTGGATACCATGGCGTGGGCCATGGGTGTGCGTAGCACGATAATGACGTGCTGAGGTTTTTCGAGTGTCGGGCCCTGATTACCCCTCCATGTCCACCTAAACGGAAACCGTCTCAGCGTGCCAGTCCTCTTGCAGCGCTGTATGCGCAACCGTTTGTGCTCAAGCCTCGCTTTTCTTCATCAGAGGTTTGCGATGCGCGTCGCCGTGCTGGTGCTGTGGCTGCTCGCGACGCTGGAGCAGCGGAGCCGCGACGTCGGCGAGCAGCTCGGCCGCTCGCAGGTGCTCGAGCGCCTGCAGGACGCCGCCGAGAACCTCTCGGCGAGCGCTCAGGCGGCGGCCGAGTGCCCGCCGCCGCTGGCGGCTGGGGGCCCCTGCGCCCCGTGTGAGGCCTGCCCCGCGGAGGCGGAGTCGGGCCCCACCTGGGCGGGCGTGGTCGCGGGGCACCTGGCGTCGGGGGCACCTGGCGTCGGCGCTCATCGGGCAGCTGGGCGGACGCCTGCTGCGTCGGGGCGATGGCGAGGGGGCTGCCCGTGGGGCGGTTCCTGGACCAGCGCGGCCAGCCCTTCTCGGCCGCGGAGTTCGCGCGTGAGCTGATTCCAGGGCGGTCGGTTGGACTGAAGTACGCGGAGGCGGGCGAGGACCTGTACCACGAGCGGGTTCTGCTTGGGCCCGTCGGCGCCAGCGGTGCAGGACAGAGCACGATCTGGCGCAGCATGACGCCCGATCTCATGATCTACGAGGAGCAGTACAGCGAGGGGAACATGGATGTCGAGCAGTTCGTGCTGATGAGCGACGGCGCGGAGGTGCCTCGACCCTTGCGCGGGTACTTCTACAAGTTCGACCCCGAGGACTACCCGTCCACGCAGGCCATACGGCGGGAGCTGTCGTCGAGCTTGGCGACCTACGAGGAGCTGGGATTCGCGCCGCCTGCCGTGCCGCGGATGCTGTCGGCCGAAGGCGTGATCGTGCCCACTCGACGCCTGCCGCTGCGAGCAGCCGCCCATGGCGCGCCCTCCGAGGACGTGGCAGTGGTCGCTGCCGACGGGACTCGGACCCCGCCGTTGGCGCCGCCCGAGGGTCAGAGCTGGGTGATCGCAGAGATGGGGAACGACGACTACCGCTACGGGGACACGATCGAGCTGCGACAGGGGGACATCACACACAGCGAGGGCGTCGGTTTCGCCCACGTGAAGGATGATTTCTTGAAGGTGATTTTGATGAGACCCTCGGAGATCGAGGCCTTCAAGAAGCGCGGGCTGGCGGCTGCCCAGAAGGAGGCGGAGCGCCTGGGTACTGGGAGCGTCTCGATCGGCGATCGGTCGGCGCCTCCCAACCCGCCAGGCACAGAGATCAGGGACCCGAAGGGCGTTGGAGAGCTGCGAGACAAAGACGAGAGGGCTCAAGTCGGCGAGCCCAGTGGCGACGAAGACGACGGGCGCACGCTCTGGGTGGACTACGATGAGCAGGGACGGCGATATAAGAGCTTCAGGAAGTTCACCGCCGAGATGACGCAGGAGCCGCTGGACTGCCGCGACATCGATGGGCCGTGCTGTCTCTCGCACCTTCTGCTGCACGCCGAGCGTCGCCATGGAGATCTGGAGAAGTGGTTGGTGGATTTCTTGAGGGACAACAACATCGGGAAGACGGACAGGGTGACGCACGAGCTCCAGGCTCTCGTGAAGGCGCTGCACCTTTTCGCGACCCACGACCAGGTGAACTTGCCCTCGCTGGCGGGAGCCGAGCGCCTCGGGCGCAGAGTGGTCGCGATCATCGATGCCTACAGTGGCCAGTCCGCGCCGAACTGGAAGCTCGCGAACGTGTACGAGGGCGTGGGGTCAGGCCTCGAGGCGGTGGACCCTGGGCTTCGCTCGTGGGGGATCCGCCGCTACAAGGACGAGCACGACAGCTACGTGACCAGGACCAAGGCCTTGAGCGGCGGCGCTATGCCCGAGGAGGCAGAGGACCAGGTTGGAGGGGGCGCCGTCGGCGGCCGCGGTCGCGGTCGAGGCCGTGGGCGCGCAGAAGGACGCGGGACAGCACGTGGAGGGCGTGGTGTGCCCGCGGAGAAGCCATGATGATGGAGACGGGCCGCGACGAGAAGTCCCCGCGTCGCGGCCTGCTGAGCGTCGGGGGCGGGCCGTGCCAGGCGGCCCCAGGGAGGCGGCGGCTCTTTCCGCTTCCACCCTTGCATGTCGACCCAGTTTGTAGGGTCGGGCGGTCCAAGAAGCAACGGCGGAAGGATCGCGCGCGTGAGGTCCTTCCCACGCTGGTGGCAGAGGCTACCGATGCACTTAATTGGATGAGCGGGCACCGCGTCGACGACACGGAGGACGACATCGAGTCGACTTTCGGCCTGGCGTCGGAGATGGCGGACTCTACGAGACGTTACCTGGAGGGGCTGGCCCAGCTCCAGCAGCCCAGTAGCGAGAAGGCTCGGCATCTCACCACGGAGGCGGCTTTGATGGAGTTGCTCCGTGGGAGGGGCGGCGGGTGCACCGACGCCGGCCCCTCCTCAACGGCTCTGGCCCCTTTCAGGCATGACCTGGTGTCGCTGCCCTCGGACACGAACGATTGCAAGATGATCGAGGAGCTCGTCGGCGCCCGAGGTCGGTACTTTCTGGAGGGGGAAGGAGAGCGAATGCGCCTGGCTGCTGATGAACAATTAACTGAGGCTCAGTTGCATGACATTCCTTGCTACGTTGATCCCGCCCTGACGCGGAATCGGAGGAGATACGTTCGCTTTTTGAAGGATCTGCACAGCAGGGGGCTTGTGAAGTTCTCGTCGTGCTGTCGCGAGAAGGTCGGGCTGTTTTTCGTGAAGAAGAAGTCGGGGCAGCTCAGGATGATACTGGATGCCCGCAGGACGAACGCACATTTCCGACCCCCCCCGCACGTGAGCCTCCTGACTGCTGAGGGCCTCGGTAACATCGAGGTCGAGGGGGACCTGGAGGGCGCACCACAGCTAGCTGTCGGGACCGTGGACGTCTCCGACGCCTTCCACCGCATGAAGATGCCCGACCACCTGTGCGAGTACTTTGGCCTCCCGTCGGTGTTGGCATCAGAAATCGGGATGCATCGCGTGCAGGGAGTCGAGGTGGAGCCTAGCTCAGAGGTGGTGCCGCTGGCGACCGCGTTGCCCATGGGCTTCACCTGGTCGCTCTTCTTCGCCCAGGACATCGACGAGGAGGCCACCGCCGCGGTGATCGACAGGTGTGAGCTCTTGGTGGATCACGGTCGCCCTTTGCTGCTTCGCTGCCTCCGAGGGGGGGCTCAGATTCGGCACTACGTGTACGTGGACAACGTGGGCGTGTTCGGCGGGGGGCGAAAGATAGTCGAGGAGACCATGGAGCGCCTAGTGAGCAGCTTCGAGTCCCGCGGACTCAAGACTCACGAGCTGGAGATCACGGAGGGAGAGATCGGAGCCCTGGGGGTGGTGC